ATTTTCACTTAAGGGAATAGATGTTATGCTTCTTAACTAACATACTTTTTTTTCTAATATGCTATGCAATCTAGGAAGAGCTGTACTTTTTTTTACTCCAAATCTGAGAGCTGTGTCCAATTGCTGGCTATGTCCGGTGTCAAATAGGCCCTTATTTTGGCACACACAATTATTTTATAGGTTGCAGTCTACAAATTAAATATGAGATTATTACAACTTTCTAGTGACTGGAACATACATCTCACTAAACTGTACAATGGTAGTAGTGGCAAGAGCTTTACATAGTTGCTTTGAGTGGTGAACCATAAAATTGCAGGTGGCAGCTTTTAAATGCTGCATTTCTAGTTTCTAGAGTATATTTCTTCATTTGAGACTTTGGAAAAAGTTCAGAGAAGAGCAACTAAAATCATCAAAGGCCTGGAGACTAAAACATATGAAGAATGGCTGCAGGACTTGGATTTGGCTAGTTTAAAGAAAATAAGAAAAAGGGTGATATGATAGCAATATTCCAGTATTTGAGGGGCTGCCACAAAGAAGAGGGGGTCAAGCTATTCTCCAAAGCACCAGAGGGCGAGACAAGAAACAATTGTTGGAAACTGATCAAAGAGAAAAGCAACCTGGAATTAAGGAGAAACTTCCTGAGGAAAATTAACCAGTGGAACAGCCTGCCCTCAGAAATCGTGGGCTATCACTGGAGATTTTTAAGAAGAGACTGGACAGTCATTTGTCTGAAACGGTATAGGTTCTCCTGCTTGAGCAGGGGGCTGGACTAGAAGATATTCCATTCTGTTCCGTTCCGTTCCATTCCATTCCATTCCATTCCATTCCATTCCATTCTATTCTATTCTATTCTATTCTATTCTATTCTATTCCATTCTATTCTATTCTAAATATTCATAGGATATTCCTGGATAGAATGGAATGTAAAGGGCTTCCTATGCCAGTTAAGGTTGTGTCCTTCATCTATAGCATATTATTGTACCACTAATTTTCCTGGATCTCATTTTGGCTTTCTTCTTAATCCTGACTCTTGGTTTGTCCTTTCAGCTAGTTAAATGCTAATTCCAGAAGAAGCCTGTGATTACAGCATTTAAAATGTACATATATCCTTTTGAACATACTGTGCCTGATCTCACCCGCACAGAAAAGCAAAATAATATTTGAAATATTATTTAATTATATTTTAAATAGTAGAAACAGAACATAATCATTGTGCTAAAGAGCTGTATGATGTCTTCTGGTGGACAATTTCGGATAGCAAACTGATTGGTCTACCAGTTATCTAGATCAGTGGTTGTCGACAAGTGGACTAGTACAATTGTTTATAATGAAACACTTAATAATTGAAATCTCATTCTTGAAATAGCAGTAAATGGTAAATATAATTGCAGATTTCCTGTTAATACATTTAGTTCTACATTTAGGCAAGAAAAACCAAATGCACAGGTACAGTAAAGGTGGTACCTTGCTCAATAATAGTAACTGTGAGAGGGATCTTGGAGTCCCAGTGGACAATCACTTAAACATGAGCCAGCAGTGTGCTGCAGCTGTCAAAAAAGCCAACACAGTGCTAGGCTGCATTAACAGAGGGATAGAATAAAAATCATGTGAAGTTAATACCACTTTACAATGCCTTGGTAAGGCCACACTTGGAATACTGCATCCAGTTTTGGTCACCACAATGTAAAAAAGATGTTGAGACTCTAGAAAGAGTACAGAGAAGAGCAACAAAGATGATTAAGGGACTGGAGGCTAAAACATATAAGAAACAGTTGCTAGAATTGGGTATGTCTAGTTTAACGAAGAGAAGGACAAGGGGGGACATGATAGCAGTATTCCAATATCTCAGGGGCTGCCATAAAGAAGAGGGAATCAAGCTATTTTCCAAAGCACCTGAAGGCAGGACAAGAAGCAATGGGTGGAAACTAATCAAGGAGAGAAGCTACCTAGAACTAAGGAGAAACTTCCTGACAGTGAGAACAATTAATCAGTGGAACAACCTGCCTCCAGAAGCGGTGAATGTTCCAACACTGGAAGTTTTTAAAAAAACAGTGGACAGCCATTTGCCTGAAATGGTATAGGGTTTCCTGCCTGAGCAGAGGGTTGGACTAGATGACCTCAAGGTCCCTTCCAACTTTATTATTATTATTATAACTTTTTCACAAAATAAAAAATTAAATTCCTGGACTTCTATCACGGTAGGGCTTAGATTTTTGATATAGGTAAGTAGACATTAAGTTTCTAAAGACTGAAAATCTCTACATTAGAAACTATTTATAATTTCTGTAAAAATGAAAGTTTTTTAATAGAATAAAATCATAAGCCATTATTTGTGTATCTTATAAAGAATATGCCTAGCTGCTTTTCAGCAAATGCAGTGAATGTCCTCATTCTTATAGCTTCTGATGCTTCTGCTTGTAGTAATTGTTTTGCCTGTAATAAGCATCACTCCAATGCACTTTTTTTGCAAGTGCTAGTTTTAGTTGTTTATTAAAGTATTCTCTTTATATTATATTAAGTATTAAACTATTCCCTTATGAAGAGTTCATAACAATCAGTATCAGTATACATGTTGGTATAAAAATAGTTTTAATTTTAATGCAGAAGAGTTGATTCCCTTCACTGACAGCTATTTTAAACTAGATATGTGTGTTGCCATTACACAACCATCACATGATAAAACCTAAGTAAGTTCTTGCAAAATAAGTGGCAGAAGATATGTTTTTCACATCTGATATTTAGCATGAGTTATCTATTTAAGAAATTTGGAAGCACTTATACTCAAATTCACAATATTTAACCTTTAAATTTATCAGCTTGCCTACATATAGCAGATGTACAGTATGTATTATGAGAGAGAGGGGTCAGTTCTATACAAAAATGAGAGTGCTAAAGAAGGGTTTTTTTTTTTTTTTACATTTTATTCTAAAGCCTACTGGAAGCCAATTCAGCATCTACAAAATCAAAATTTCATGGTTGGAATGGCTCTCACCTATCAGCAAGTGGGTCACTGCATTTTTCACTAATGCTTGCTTCTGAGTAATAGCATTAGTATTAGCACCTAGACCAGGGATCTTCAAACTTGGCCCTTTTATGCCTTGTGGACTTCAACTCCCAGAATTCCTCAGCCAGGAACGCTAGCTGAGGAATTCTGGGAGTTGAAGTCCACAAGTCATAAAAGGGCCAAGTTTGAAGACTCCTGACTTAGACTTATATACTGCCCCATAATGCTTTACAGCACTCTCAGTGCAGTTTACCGTGTCAGCATATGGCCTCCAACAATCCGGTATCTCATTTTACCAACCTCGGAAGGATGGAAAGTTGAGTCAATCTTGAGCCTCATTAACTCCTGCCTGTGGGTTGAGTTAGCCTGCTATAGTGCATTCTACCACTATGCCACCAGGGCTCTTCAAAATTAGTCTTCAAAGGCAGTCCCGTGCACAACGCATTGCAGTAATTTATACTGGAGTAATGCAAGGGAGTGCATTACTCTTGCCAGGGTCTCCTGCTGTAGGAATGGTCACAACTGGAACAAGTGGTGTTATATCTTGCACGATATGCCTTTTAATTACAGAAGAAGAACAGAACAATTACCATCCCATCCATTTACTGACTGTTTTGGTAGTGATTTTATTCAGTTTAATAGGACTGACAATAATAAAAATAAATGTAAAAATATAGGAGAATATAGGAGAAACTACAAAACTACAAAAATGAAATGGAACCAGAGTCATTACCAGATGGTAACAAGTGATTTATATGTAAGTGTCATCCTGCTTAACTTTCTCCAAGATTAGGCAAGATGTTGACGCTTAAAACTATTTAAATCAGTGGTTCTCAACGTTTGTGTGACGGCGACCCCCGTCACACAAACGTGCTGCGCAAGCGCTGCGCCGCCCCATGCGCGGCGCGTGTGCGCTGCGCCGCCTCATGCGCATCGCCGCCCCCATGCGCGGTGCGCATGCGCGTCGCCGCCCCCTGAGGGGGGAAAATGGTGGATCGCCTTCTTTGGCGACCCCCGAAAAATGATCGATCGACCCCAAATGGGGTCGCGACCCATAGGTTGAGAACCGCTGATTTAAATTATTTAAGCTCCATTTTCTAATATCTTTAAATGAATAACATATGTCTAAAGAAAGTCATCATTTTAAAGTAAGTTCAAATTCTTCTTTAAGTTTGATTTTTTTTTTTAAAAAAAAATCTACTTTAGAATTTCACTCTCAACTTTTTAAAATTCTTCCTTGCGTGTGAAGAGTAGACAATTTTCAAAGTCTCATGTGAAATTATTTCCAAGGAGTTACTAAAGGGCGAAGTGGCTGTCACTTTGGGCAACATTCACAGAATAAAATTACTCCACCAACATGATGGGCATGGATTTCTGGGGGTTGAGGAGAGTTTTTTAGGGAGTTGCAGATGTGGTGGTGATGGTTTCTGATAAACTAAACTCACTCCAGGGTTTAAATATCCCCCTGTTTTTCTGCCAAACCACTGATTTGCTGCCATAATTCAGTAGCTCAATCTGGAAACAGATGGAAAGAATGGAGCTGGAAGACCTACAGAATAAAGGAAAAGGGGCAGATACATTCAATTCAAACAGCATGAAAGGATTAAAACAGCCAGAAACGAGAAAAGCCCATTCTTTCTAAGACCTGCAGCAAATCGCTGTCACCAGGAGCAACCATGTGAGAACTTAAGCTGTTAGTGAGAACAGTTAATTTTTCATGGAGGTGCTAGAATGGAATTCTTATGATTACAGTAATTCCACTTGGAAAGCAGAGTCTGTCCCATGCAAGTAGCTTTTCGCTATGTTCCCGAACAATAGAGAGGTCCAGAATGTTTTGTTTGGAATGACCTTTTGTTGTAATAAAACAGAATCTCCAAATGTCATCAATGGAAAATAAGATGCACAGGCAAATAAAATAACTAATTTGCTACATGTTAAGCATTGATTTCGCCTCCCCTTTTTTTTCAATACCCTGATCAGATAAAGTCACTTCCTATTTTCTATAAATGTAATTTATTCTAAACATTGCTCTCACTGTACATTTAAAAGGTTGTTTGTATCCCTTTTACTTAGAAATATTGGTATTCTTAACTGACAGAACACTGTGATCCTATGTTCCCGTCTGACAGCCATAAGGGACCAATGCAGAGGGTATGCCAACATCCTGAGCGCCTTTGATGTTGTGAAAATTATCATCAAAAAAGATGTGGGGCTGGATCTTGGAGAGGATAGGACCTTTTGGAGCTCCAGCCATGAAGAAGGCTTCATCAGTCGACAGTCCCCATTCCCGAAGGGTTTTGATGATCCGGATGCCCATATCACAGCCACTGCGGGCAGTCACTAAATAGATACGGATGGGAGAATCCTCTTGACCAAACTTTTTGCGCATCTTCCCAAGATGCAAAGCAAAGGCTTTCAGGGGGCCCTGGAAAAGATGGCAGGAAGCAGAAAGAACGGTACTGTATTATTTTGCAGACAGCTGGAGAGCAAAACTGAAGACCCATTTATTCTACTCAGAGATGGACAAATAAGCTCTATTGTTCTTTTATTTTACAATGCGTAATTATGATCAACATGGGGCTCTTACTTTAGCCTATTAACAATAAGGGTTGTTCATGAAGGCAATTCAGTAAAGTAGCAAATCTGAATCCATCCATTAGCCAATAAGGAAGAACTTTATATTGTATTTTGATATCTCAGTTCAGTAATATTTTCATAACTATTAATGCATTACTCTATGTAACAAACATATAGAAGGCTGCTTTGTCAACATAAATAGATGCACTAAAACAAATTCCTCATGAGTTAGCTTTTGAATTGAATTGGTACCTGGGAAGGTAAAGCAGAGGTATTATGCAGACAGCTCACTTTGGTTTAACCAGCTGTGAATTCTTTTTTAAAGTTATATTAAAAGTTTAAAGTCACACATCCTTTGTTATTCTTTGCTAAACTGAATGAAAAATACCATTTCTACAATTGTTGTAAAACACACAGTTGAAGGTAGAAGGAGTGGGCTGACACGAAGTCTAGTAGCAGTGGCAGGAAAACACTGGAAAGACCAGGGGGTGGGCAAGCTGATGGGAAGACCTGAGAAAACTGAAGTGAGCTAGCCATTAAAAAGATCAGCAACAGCAGTGAGAAGGTATTAGGAAGAAGTGTTGGGGGAGGGGCAAACCAATTACTGCTTTATTTAGGTATCACCCTTGGAGAGAAGAGAGAAGATAGGAACATCTTCTTGGGGATGTAGGCAACCTTACCTCTCCCATGGGTACAGTTTCCATAATTTTCTCATATTCTACTGCTTCCTCAAGACCTTTCTCATGAAAGACACGATCAGTCTCATCCGAAAAGAGTACAGCATCACCATCAAAGACAATTCGTAATTGGGCTCTAGGAGCCTGTATCTCCTGCTGAAAGATGAGGGCTGCTGAGACTCCTGCATGACAAATAGACTTTGTTACCTTGCCTGTACAGAAGAGACATTTTGGCGCTTGTCCCAATTTAAGAAGTCACTCCTTATCATTATATAATTTCCTGAAGATGATGTGGATTATTTATTTGCACGAAGCAGAAATGGTTAAAATGTTTTATGACTGCACAGAACCCCTCAGGAAAAGCCATCAAATCATCATATGTTTCTGAGGCCAGGAAATTGACAACTTTTCTTGTCATCAAAGTTCTCCTTAAGAGGCACCACAGAGTAGGTGAAGAGAGACAGGAAACCCTTCCTTGGCTTCAAAACCTATCTCTTTCCCTTTTACAAAAAGTAGAATTTTCAGAATTTTCAACGGGTTGAAAATTCTGGGAGGGTTGGAGGGTCAAATAGGACACCAAGTTAGAGAAGAATGTGCTAGATCAATGTGCTTTACAACGTGCTTGTAATGGTTCTACTGAAATACCTGAACAGCATGACAGAAAATGCCTATTCCTTTTTCATGAGAAATAGACTTACTTCCCTGATAACAATCAACTTCAGAAAAACCTGCACTGCTGAACAGTGACACCAACTGGGATTGAGGGCATCTAACACTGCTTGCTGCCCTCAAGGTTTAAGCTACAAAACAACCTGATATAAGTCATTGACAGAATGTCAACATTGAAAAGCCAACACAGAGGAGATATTGTTCCTTGTTGGCATGATCTTGGAGGAGCATGGAGGATTTTCACAGGAAGGCCCTTTCAGAATTTGTGATAGGCTATAATGGAGGAGGCATATTCAACTCAGGACATAATCAGGGAGATGGCAACAAAATATAATGCAAAATACAAAAGAACAAACCTCTCTGAAGTGCGTTGCACACATCTTTTGGGTCAGCTGAGAGAAAAAGTTTCACATTGTGGGTTTTCAAATATTGGGTAGAATCCTCATCACTGACAAAGCAAAACTTGGAGATTTCCAAACCTTAAAATCCAGGAACAAATAAGGATGGTAAAGGAGGAATACAAACACAGCTTGAAGCAGCAAAGAGATATATCACAATCCCATTTGTGCAATCCAACCATTAAAAACTATGAAGTGGTTAGCTGGCTCCTCCAGAGCTTTTTTCTTAAAGGAGATTGAAGTGGTGCAAGAACACATTTGAAACTCTAGGGAAAGAAGAAAAGGGCTGTGCATAACTGATTAAAAAAAATGGAGTTGGCAGAGGAATAACTAATTCTCAAGCTCAGTGTTTTCCCTCATATGAGGATATTAAAGCTACACAGTTATATTTATTAAACCAGATTTATATACCACAGCAGCTCAAGATATATACATAGCAGCCCCTCCTCCTATTTTCTCAACAACAGTTCTGTGAGACTAAAAGAAAACAACTGGCTCAAAGTCTGGGTGACCAACTCAAACAGACAACCTACCATAATGTTTCACGCTGTTGATTATTCGCACACCACTCTCTGGACTGTTATTGGAGAGAACAATGACATCAAAGAGGCCCTTTTCTTCGGGGTCTCTTTCAAGAAGTTTCTTGTTCACAAACTGCAACGCCTGAAAGGAGCAGGCAGAGATGCATTACTATGTGTCTATGGAGATTCTCAGTCATCCAGGTCATGGTTGTCCCAAAGATGCTTCTTCAAAAGGTAATTGGACTTTCTTTGGTTTTTTCCATGAAGACATTTTGCTTCTCATTCAAGAAGCTTCTTCCATTCATGAACAAGCTTCTTGGATGAGAAGTGAAATGGTCTTCAAGGGAAAAAACAAAGAAAGTCCAGTTACCTTTTGAAAAACCACCTTTGGGACAGGCATTACGATAGGTTTCTCTGAATGCAAGACTTTAATGGCCATATATGGCCACTCTGCAAAAATGACATTTTAAATGTAGTAGCAATTGTTTGAAAGTTCATATATTCAATACAGTATGTCCACATTAATGATCTGGAGTGAATTCTGAAGATGGAAAAACCCTGAACAGCAATAGATGATTCTTTGCAGAACGTGGTCAAAAATGTCAAGATTGCAACCACAACTGTGAGATCAAAGTTCCCCATCTATTGTTAGGTGATACATGTGCAACCCACATAAAAAATGAGCAAGTCAACATTTTGGCTTTTTTTTAATATCATACCTGGTGAACAGCTTTTGTTTATAAACAAGACTATTATAAAATGCCCATAAGCCTTCTGTAACTTCATCATAAAACAAATATCTGGGTACCTAACAATTGAAGTTCTTATTTCTTAGAAAAATGGAGTATGCATTAGAATTACAATTAATGGGCAAAAACTTGATTATCTTCATACATATGGATATAAACATTGTGATCAAGCCAGAATCACTGCTGGTGAAAAACTCCCAATTACAATGTCTCTTCTGCATTTATTCTATGTTTTAATTTAGTACATGAGTACTGGATGAGGACTCTAAAAATTAACATGTGTACTTCATACAAATATCTTGTTAAGAGAAACTCCCTCCCCCCCCCCGCTTTTTCTTACCTGAATTAAAGGAAAAGCTGTTCCCTGCTCCAAGGGGCTGTTCTCATTTGCTTGCTGATGTTTCACATATTCCTCTTTGCCCTTTGTCAAGAAAATTTCATGCTCTCTCTCCAAATTGAAAATGGTCCTGGTCGTCACAGCAATAACCAAGGCTTCCTTTGGATCTTTCTGGAGATGTTCAAGAACATTGACTTAGCTAATATTAAAGAGATGGAAAGGAAGAGAAAGAGGCTTGTACTTTCTCCTCTTTTATGCCTTTCTCATCATCACATTATACCATCTGTGCTTGTGATCCAGCACTATACTCAGAAAGCTAATTATATATATATATATAAAAACTCTGCAAAAGCTGTATTTATAGCATAATTACTATGTAGTGTGCAGAAGTGACTCCAGCCTAGAAGCCTGGACCTGACCTTGCATGCTGCCAGAGAAAGGAATGGCAAGGAAATCAGCCATCAAGGAAGGTACTATAATTAATCAGTGGTCATCAGCTCACACATGATTCCCATAATAATATTCAGGATAGTCTTGCATGCACGTAAATGAGAATCCAGTCTCTATCAGCCACCATAAATCTTCCTTTTCATTGTTAAGACTTGGTCCATTCACGCTTTTTTAGACTCGATGCCAGCTCATCATGTGAAATGTCTTCAGGATAGGCTCAATCGGCCAGAGGAAACGGCCAAAAGAAAAAAATGCAAAAAGGAAAAATTGGAAGGAGCTGGATCTTCACTCCCTAATTAAATGCATGAATAAATGACCAGTGGTGGTCAGGTTGATGCTTCCAAGAGATCCAGAAAGAGACATAAAAGCTTTAGAACAGACCTGGGCATTTTACAGCCTCCAGGCCACATCTGGCCCTTTGGTTGTCCCTGTGTGGTTTGTATGGATTGCTTTTATTTTGAAAGTGACTGCTTGTTTTTTTTTTTTTTTTAAAAAAACTATGTATTTGCGTGTATGCATGCCTATGCACCTTCACAGCCCTACTGCTACTTTGGCCCTCCAAACAGTCTCAGTTTCTCATGCTGCCCCTTAGATTAATTGTCTCACGTGGCCCCTCAGGAAAATTAATTAACTGTGCTTCGGAGGGTAACAGCTTCACACATATAATTTTGCCCATATTACTGAACATTTCCCCTTCCAGGTCAAAGGCACATTGTTCAAAACTACTTTAATGTAATTTTAATGTAACTAGTTTAAAAGGATACAGATCCATTCTAAAATATTTCTGAAATTAAGCTTTAAATGTTATATAAAATCAATATATCGACATGGCCAGAACACAAAAACTGCCAAGGAATACATCTTCTAGCTCACAATCAATTTATAACAATGGTTAATTTATGATAGCAATTAACAGATTCCAGGGAGAAATCATAAAATAATTTAAAAATGATATTAAATTGGCAACTTTAAAAATGACGTCATTAAAAGCTACACAGAGAACAAGTTACAACATATATGTAACCTACCTGGAGCTTTACTTGGAGTTATATAACGGTGACTGAATTACAAGGGAAAACCTCTCTATAAAGGGATACATCAATTATATTCATTCCAATTAAGACTGAAAGCAGAGTATTAACAAGAGCTAAGGTCTCTTATGATGCTTTGCCATATCAGGGTTACATATACTCACTCAGGTGAAAGCTTTCTGTAGCTGTCCCTTCTCAAAGCAAAAATAGCCCTTAACATTCTCTCTCCGCAAATCAATATCCATTAGCAATTCTCTTTTAAAACCCAAAGGTTACAAAGCTAAAATAGATAGATCACAGTTGTGTAGTTTGCCTCTAAGGTCTCTTCCAAATTGAATATATTATCTAGAACAGTGGTTCTCAACCTTTTTATACTGGCAACCCCAATCATAAGGATGCGCTGCGCATGCGTGGTACCGCCCCATGCACGGCACGCATGCGCGCCGGCGCCCCCATGCGCGGGACAGATGGACACTTGTGCCCTAAGTCATCTCAAGAATGAACTACAGTACTGCAATGTGCTCTACATGAGGCTGATGTTGAAGGCTATTCAAAAATTATCCAGAATACCGATCCAGAAATCAGTTATGTGTATGCTAATTGCTGGTTAAAATTCAAGATACTGGTTATTACTAATAAAGCCCTTAATGGCATAGGATCTAATTGTTTGATAGATTACCTATTTCCAATAATTTTGCTCATCTGGTTAAGTTTTGCAAGTGTGATGTGTTCCAAGTCCCTTTAATTATACAATGCCATTTATCAGGACTTATGAACTTAACATGAAGGGGTTAGTTTATAGGTCTTGTGAATCCAGTAGCTATGCAAAATTTCCAAAAGGAAATTTGGTTGAAGATTTGTGCAAAACATGTCTTATAAGGTGCTTCCTATAACCATGCAGTCTTCTTAGTTCTAAAGGCAGAATAACTGGGTATATGGGCCCTGCTTTGCACTTACTTCCAGTATCCAAAGTGCCAAACCCAGTTGCAAAGTCACACAAAGTGCACTGACAAGTCACATTACTTCAGTGAAATGAACTGTGATTGCTCAAGCCTAGAATAATTGAGTTCATTCTACAAACCACATTTTATTAAGCATAAGTTAGCATCTTATGTGACCATTGTCAAGTAAATCCCTCTACTTTTAAAGGGTGGAGCTATCAAGGCAAGAAACAAGGAGTTGGGACCAAATAATATTGTTTTGGAGACTCGGGCTTGCTGCAGGTCTGATATTAGGCAAAAGGAAAGAGCTTCCTTCGGGATTAACAGAAGCAGAACAGCAAAATCTACCTCATGCAAGAAACAGACAGCAGCAGAAGCCTTTGAAATAGTGCATGTAAGGCATTGTTGTAATTAATACTTCACCTGATTAATGCTGGTATTTATGATGGTGCTATCAGGGTCGGCCATCTTCTATTCTTGCCTTGAAAGGGAAAAAGAAAATAGCTGATCCAACAAATTCATTTAATAGCAAGAGAGACATCAGACTTAATGACATCCTTTACTCTATTCCCAAAAGAGGAAGAAAACACTCCTTCACACGTCTGTGTTGTGATATGCTATAAGCAAAGACCTTCTTGAAGTAAAAAAGAAAAAAGAAATGACAACCCAAGATGATGTTCCTTCCATGAGTGGAAGTGGGATTCAAATATGTGAACAACTGGTTCTCTGTGTGGATGCCGCTTCCGGAAGTCAATTCTGGGCCCGAGCAACAAAAAATTAGTTATCGGTTCTGCTGAAATGGTATGAACTGGCTGAATCCTACCACTGGTCAAAGCCTCTTATTAATACTGGCAGTGGGAGAGCATCTTCCATTGTTCTTGAAGGCAACAGACTAGCATAGCGGATCCAGGGTTGAGAAGAAGGGCCACTTCTACTTGGGGGACTGCTGTATACAAGCACTGGCTGTCTGAAGCTCATTTTGCCTTACAGCAGGGCCTGCTTTCACTCAGCATAAACCTCTCATATAATTGGACAAACTGTTGTTCTATGGAGCCAGGATCAAACTATGAATGATGAAATATAATTCAAAGTGAACTGAGAAATAACACCTTAACAGTACAACTTGCTTAAAAAAACACACACACAAAAAGGGAATCCCAAACGAGTGAATACGCATTCAGTTAACATTCTGTTCATAACTTAACTCAGTCTGGAGTAAGAAGATGGCACCTTTGTATTGATTTGCTGATGTTTATGCTATTCAGAATGGAAATACATATTTTACATAAAAATAGGTGTATCTTTCGCAATCAGATCCCCCCCAAATGGCTTTAACATTTGGGGACTTAAAAAAAAGTATTACATTTGTTAATAACCAAACCTAAAGCCAATTCATTCTTTGCTGGGATATATCACATTGATAGAACTTTTCATCCAATAAAGCTTATCATTGTTATATTCTTTCAGTAAAGAAAGTTAATTGAAAGCTGTGAAGGGGCCAGACTGGGTCCAAGCAGACTCGGATTTTAATTTGCACTCGACTAAGGATCTCACCAAATAATTTTGAAGCAGTAATTCCTTCTGCTAACTTCCCTGGAGAGTTGCTATAGGATGAAATGAGGGGGAGCCGCCCTGTATGCCACTATGTTTCCATAAGACAGGCAGGATATAAACACAAGACATACTTTTTAAATGGCCAAACCTATCAAAAAATCAACAACATCTTCACAGACAGTCGATTCACGATAGAAACCGAGAACAACAATGAACTGCCATTCCTGGACGTCCTTGTAACCCGAACTAACAATGGACAACTTCTAACATCTGTATACAGAAAGACAACACACAGAGACCAAATCCTCAACTTCCACCACAACCACCCCAAAGCCATAAACAAAGCTGTGTCAAAACACTTTTCAGAAGAGCAGAATCCCATTGCAACACCACAGAAGACAGATCAGCAGAACTGAGACACTCAAGCAGAGTCTTTGAGAGAAACGGATATCCACGAGGCTTCATCCAGAGATCCCTACACACAAACAACACAAACACCCAAAAACAACACAACAAGAACAACAAGGACCAAACGAATCATAATTCCTTACATACAGAACATTTCAGAGATGACAGCAAGACTACTATACCAAGACAACCACACAGTAGCCCACAAACCAGCCTCAACTCTCAGAAGGACCCTATCAAAACCTAAAGAGCCAACAGAAACAAATCAAAGATCAGGTGTCATATACCAAGACCAATGCAACAAATATGAAAAGAACTATGTGGGCCAAACAGGAAAAAAGCCATCTACCAGACTGCACGAGCACTCCCTGGCTATCAAAAGACACGACCCATTGTTCCTCATGTCCATCCATGAGGACTCAGAAGGACGCAAGTTCGATCTAACTGAGACCATAATTATAATCCAAGCAAAGTCAGGGAGAGAAAGAGAATTCCATGAGGCCTGATTCTCCACCAACCCAATCAGTGAACAGACACATTGACATCGACTCTGCCTACCAACCACTGAGACCGGGAGAGCTACTTCAGCTGAAGATCAAACCAACAGTCCATACTTTTTAAAATAATAAAAAGTACAGATATCGGTGGGTTTTTCTTTTTAACGTTAATTTTTAGGAAGAGGGGATAAAAATAGATTATTGATAATTCTGTGTGCCAGTTTGTAATATAAAATGTCTATAGTGTATGTGCCATGCCACTTTGCAGCATGTAACAATTCCAACATTGCAGCAAATGTAGGCTTGCCTGCTTTGAAAGATTGCTTAAGTATATATAAGAACTGTGTCTGGATTAGGCCAAAGTCTATCCAAGTCCAATGTAGTCTAGTTCAGCATCTTCCCAACTGCCTTCCAACATTAGCCAGTTAGACAGTTTTGGGAGCTTATTTTAAAAATTGCTTTTATATTACCAAGAATCGGCACCTATCTTAGCCCTGCTCTCCTGCATTGCCTTTCCTTGCTGTGCAAAATTTTATGGTCAGCCTTCCTGACTGCCCATTGCCTTGCTGTGCCAATCATAGCAATTCAAAGGCTTTTTTCTTGTGAACCAAAATTCCTTTACTGAGGTTCCTTTATTCCTGTGCTGGGTGAAATATACCTTCTCTGGGTAGATAAAGTGGATTAGAATTAACACCACAGATTTTAAAGTGGTAAAAGAAGGGGCCTAGAAAATAGTCATTCATTCTATAGAAATCTTCCAGGAATACCATCCTAAGTACTTACACACTGTAAGTGCCACATACAAAAATTCCTATAAGAGCAATGAATTAACTAATCATTTTTTATCACTAACAGCTGGAATCAATCTGGAATCAGGCTTATTGCAAACTGCCCTTTCAGTTCTGCAATGTGTTGCATTTAAGGATGGTTTGAACGCTCTCAGGAAGTATTATTTCACAACAATCTTTAGTTTACCAACTAAATGATTAATAGTGAAGGAGTTTGACTGGATTCAGCGAGATTTTTATATTTCAGTTTCTAGTTAGTAACTGGGGTCAGTTCAATTTCATCCATGAAAGTTGGAATACCTGTTTGCAATTAAGAATTTATAATAGGTAGGGAAAAGGGATAAATTACAGGAACAACATAAGAGGCAGTGCCCAGAGACTCACAAAAGTTGCCTTTGGATGCAATTCAACCTCACCCTGTTTATAGCTAGTCATGTTAAGTAGAAATGAACAAATGAATGAAGGCAAATATGTGTATCCAGGGTTAATGTTGAAAGATCCAGTCTGGGTCGATCACCGGGACCAGAGTGAAATGAAACCAACAAATGCGAGGTAACTATTGGTCCGTCTTCTTCCCTGTACTACATATAGAAAAATGATAAACCTGACTTCATCATCTCCGATGACTGAAATACTGTAGCCACTGAATCTTTCCCCTGGTGTCTGGCAGAGAGAAAACACACATAAGCGGAGAAACAACAGAATGAAAGGAAACCGCATTCGGCCAATACTTCCTTATAAGGAGCCAGCGACAATTGAAGAAGCGAGAAAGGATCGATTGCTTGCAAAAAGTTGGGTGTTTACGATTTTTCTAATGACAAAACACGCATGCAATTCAATATTCAATATGCAAATATTTAATAATCAAATATCCCCAAACTCACCACCTTTCATTCATAAAGTCAGCTCGTTTCAAAACCAGCGGCATTCGAGGCATCAAGTTTACAACTAGCGCACGGCGCTTCTTTATGTATTTTTTTTTCTCCCTACAATAATATAAAAGTTCCCCTGAATGCTGGGAACTGTAGTCGGTATTTCTGGAAAGTCACATGTCTATTTACGAAGAAAACGACCAGAATGGACTCTCTTTCCCAGAGGGCTTTGCGCTGACTAAAAAAAAAAATAGCAGGGCGTGTGTAGGATGCGGTTTTACACGTTGATGGATAAATTCTCCAGGTGATGAGAGTCTGAAGTTTCTCCACAAGGCGTAGGATACAAAAAGCGAAAGAGTCAGAGTTAAATTTCAAGATTACCATAGGCTAGTCTTCCAATTTAGGGTAGACTGTGCAGTCATCTTTCATAACCGTGTCAAAGGCATGTTTATTTTCACTGGCAGAGATAGATTATAATTTTCTTCTAGCCTTCTAATTTCATGAGCAATAAAATGTCACTGTTAAATACAGTCCATCCGAGGCATGTGAAAATATAGCTTGGAAACGCCTCACTGTAAAAATATTAAGGGGGATAAATAAAACAGATCTATTTATAAAGATCTGTCCTTGCTTTTATTTAAAAATTTCTACTTTAGAATTCAAGAACCATCTGCTTCCACTATTTGCAAGGGATTTCAAGGGATGGAATACATTTTTGCAGAAACAATATTGAAGTGGTTCTTGTTTCCCTTTTGCCTATCACTAGTGTTAAAATTTCACGTCCAAAATGTTTTTGCCTGCTATGGGCATAATCCATTGGTGCAATATGCTTGTGATTAAAACCTGGCCATATAAATTCACAGAAGCAAAAAGGATGAGACAGCTAAAAGAAGTGGACACAATTCACTGGTCTTCAAAACTTCCTGTCAGGCAAAATTATTTTGGCAGGCAAAAAAGGAACATTCCAATTTTCTTTAACAGAATAGCTTTACAGAAAAGTACCTCTGAGCATAAAGAGAATGCCTTTCTCTTTGGAATTGGAACAGCTTCATAATCTTAAACAGGAAATACAGTACTGAAAACGCTTTTCTGATAGACTGATGACAAATCTTGATTGCTTGGTGATGGCATTTAATTTGTTTACTAAGGGTTGTACTTAACTCTCACCATGTTTATATTTAAGGTGACCAACTTTTTTACAATGAAAAGGAGGACACAAATAAATTGAAGAAAAAAAATATCGTAAATAAAAGAAACATTTTATTCATTGCAACAGTAATACAGAATACACTATAATATGATAAATGCATAATAAAACATTTGTAACAATAACATTTTATATTGTAATTATGCTTACATGCTGCACTCCCGCCCACAGCCGGCCCGCCAGCACTGCTGCCCTGCTGTGTAGAGTGAGCCCCGCAGCTCCCAAAGCACCAGCTGTGCCGGCTCTAGCCCCGGAGGGCAGCCCACCGTCGACACACCCCGGCTGCAGCCGCCCCACCAGCACCACTGCCCATCTACCCTGCGCAGCCCCGTGTAGAGCAGGCCTCATAGCTCCCACAGCACAGGGGGCAGCTGGCCACCGCTGCCCCTCACATCCCCACCCGCAGCAGCCCCACTGCCCCTGCCTCTTGCGCCCGCAGCCATTATTTCCCTAGCAGGGCCGAAGATCATGAGAAAGTTACCGTGGCGTCACCGCTCCAGTCTCCTCCAGGTATCTTCGGGACTAACTAGGAGATGGTGTAGTTGGGTAGCAGGGAATGGTGCAAAGTTCCTGCCAATTTGCCTTCGCTGAAGATAACTTACATGTGCAAAATTTGCTGGCCGGGTGTTTTGGCGCGCCCAGCAGCAATTCCTATTGGCTTTCGAAAGCCAATAGGGGGAGTAGCACAGCTCATGCAAAAGTTGAAAAAAAAAACATCAAAAAAGGTGCTGGAACGCCGTTCTGAGCGTTGTATGAGAAAAAAAAAAGCCCTGCAGATTAGTTTTCAAATATCGAAGAGGAGGACATGTAGGAGGACACTTTTCGAGGGAAGACAGAACTCACAAAAGGAGGACTGTTCTCCCTAAAGGAGGACAGTTGGTCACCTTATTATATTTCTAATTTGTTAGATTTATGTCTATCTTATCCTCCAGGAGCTCAAATTTTTCATTTTATTCCCTTTGCATATTTGTGTGGTAGGTTGATTGGAGAGAGATTGACTGGAACAAAGTTAGTGAGTTACTATGGATTATATAGGACAATTTTATTTCTTGTAATTTTTTTTGAATTCTACTGCCATCCAATCACACCTCCAACTGAGTTGAAAGGGAATGGGGTAATTATTTACCTTGCAGTTCTAAACTCACTTACGGAAGAGTAAGCCTCACTGCACACACCAGGAAGTGCTTTTGAATAAATACATATACGATTCTGAATGTTAGAATGGAGAATAAGATATGGGATCAGTGTTTTTTCAGTGACTTTGTAGCACGATAGGGATCAGCAGTGAGGAAAAAAATGAAGCTCTAACATGTTACTAAAATTAAGATAAGACAAGACAACCTGTATATAGTTGGTCCTCGAATTACAACAGTTCATTTAATGACCATTCGAAGTTACAACACCACTGAAAAAGTGACTTATGACCATTTTTCACATTTACAACCATTACAGCATCCCCATGGTCATGTGATCAAAATTCAGGTGCTTGGCAACTGATTCATATTTATGACAGTTGCAGTGTCCCAGGATCAAGTGATCACCTTTTGTAACCTTCTGACAAGTAGAGTCAATAGGGAAGCCAGATTCACTTAACAACCATGTTACTAATTTAATAAGTGCAGCAATTCACTTAAGAGGTGGCAAGAGAGGTTGTAAAATGGTGCAAAATTCATTTAACAAATGTCTCACTTAGCAACATAAATTTTGGGCTAAATTGCAATAAATCGAGGACTTTCTGTACACATAAATATATCTAGACACAGAGGCATATTAATTACTATTACTATTTAATTAATATACTAATTACTATTACTGTGGATGTTTTATTTGTGGTCTAGTCATTACTATGGATGTTTAAACTGCTATTTGCAGGTTGTTTTTAATTGTGGATTTTTGTAAGTTGTCATGAGTCGGTATGAGTAGGTAGCATGTAAATCTAATAAAGAGCTCTTTCTGTTAATTTCTTGTGGCCTTTGGGAAACTAGATTCCAGACAACATTCACAAGTTCAAGAGACACACCAAGAGATTTGCAAGGAACAAAAATACCTTGTTCCCAGTAATGGGACATTTCAGTACAAGGGCTTAGGATATATCATACCAGCCATAGGAACAATTTCTCAGAGGGAGAAAATATCTTGAGTCCCATGAATTCAATGCATATGACAATACATAATAAATGGCTGTCTTGTGCATTATAAATTGTCTGGTAAGGCTGGTGATTAATGAATGCTTCATTAGTTTTTTTGAAAGGATGTTCCATGAGTATAGATCACTGATACGTTTCTGCTGCTCTGAGGTTTGGCTTAATCTGTTGTTGCTGCTTTTAGGAGGAAAAAAAAAAAAGGGGGGGGAGCCAAAGCAAGTCTGGAGACCTTTAAACTAAAATAACATTACACACTGTCTTCATTGCAAACAGAAACAGGGCAAACCTGCTCTGGAAGACATGACACACCTTTTAAGTTTGAGGCAAGACTTTAATAGATTTGGCGTTCAGCTGGAAATGCTTATGGAGCCTTTGGTATTTATTACTTCTCCATCACAGAGTGGAATGAACAAGAAAAACAGTTCCAGTATGGCAAGAAGGACACAGGAGATTACCGTATTTTCTAATTTTTACAGGGGTTGCTCTACAGATAGTCCCCGTCTTACAACCATAATGGAGGCTACCCATTACAATCCTAAGTGATAACAATTCTAAAGTGAGTCATCACGTGACTGATCACATTTATTTATTTATTTATTTATGAGACTTATATACCGCTTTAAGTGCAAGCACTCTCTAAGCGGTGTACACCAGTAAGCAATGTATATATATATATTTACATTGCCCCCAACAATCTGGGTCCTCATTTTACCTACCTCGGAAGGATGGAAGGCTGAGTCAACCTTGAGTCGGTGAGATTTGAACCGCTGACCTGCTGAACACAGTCAGCTAAAGTGGCCTGCAGTACTGCACTCTAACTGCTGCGCCACCTCGGCACATTTTACAAGCTTTTTTGTGGCAGTAGTTAAGTGAATCAGACATTAAGCAGTGTTTGCTATGGAACATTTTTTGCTGATAATCAATCAATCAATCAATCTCTGGTTTTCAGCAAAAACTTCATAAATTGTGATCATGTTACCATAGGGCACTGCAAATAACTGTAAATACAGGTCAGTTGCTAAGCACCTAAAATGCAGTCACGTGACCAGAGCTGCCAGAACTTCAGTATTGTAAGTATCATTGGGGGGGGGGGGTCAGAACATCAAACAGTCACTAAGCAACAGGCCATAAGTCAAAGACTACCTGTATTATACCAACATGGAGCTGTCCTCACATAGAACTGTTATAAAAAATATAGTGTAGGAATTAGCATGCCACTCTCAGTCTTCAAAATAAACCTGTAGATTATATAGTCTAATTTTTATCATAATTGCTTTGGGTGTCATGGTCTTTTCTGTGAATCAAACTGTCATCTAATGGAACCTAATGAATCCCAATTCATAGAAGGCACTTAGGAGGAATTGTGAATGTTTTGGTTTGTGTATTACACATAAACTCCTTATTTCCAATTTCCTTATCTTTATATATCTTTATATATTTATATATCACATAAATCCAGCAATAAATAAATATGTATTTTTTAAAAAATATTTCATTCATTCCTCATCTTCCCTTCTAACCTCATTTATTATGGATTGTTGTGACTCGCTCTTTATAATACAGTTAAAAAAAATCTTAAAATTTCAGTGGGTCAATCTAAGCTAGATTGCAGAAAAGACTTGCTTAGAGCTACTGTATCGGAGCTTCATAACTCCAAATGTCCAATAGAAATAGTTAGAATTTTGTATCTTTTTGCTGCCCTATATTGGTTAGCTCACATTTTGCAGCCTACTTGTAGACCTATTGTCTATCTTGAAACACTAGAAGACCAACAACTTCTAATTTACTTCCCTTGTTCAAGATGGGACATGACT